CCCCAGATCAGTGAGCATCCTTAACACTCTTTGTTTGAACTCTCTGTCGGGTAGGTTGCTCATTTCTGTTTCACTTAGTTCCTTTTCTGAGGTTTTGTCCTGTTCCCTTACTTGGAATGTATTCCTTTGCCTCCTCATTTTGCCTCTTTCCCTGTGCTTGTGTCTATGTATTAGGTATGACCAGTTACTTTAAAATGTGTAAAAACAGGACACCAGATTTCAGGACCCCAGAAAGCAAAGTATGGGTTTATACTGAAGCAGAACTCTCAATTCCATGTATATTATTCATCATAAAATTTTAACAATGAACATAATACTTTAAAAATTTTAGCAGGGACTGGGCCTTGGCATATTGGTTAAGTCTGGTGCATTCTGCTTCGGCGGCCCGGGTTCGTGGCTTTGGATCTCAGGTGCAGACCTACACCATTCATCAGCCATGCTGTGGCAGTGATCCACATACAAAATAGAGGAAGACTGGCAGAGATGTTAGCTCAGGGCTAATCTTTGTCAAGCAAAAAGCGGAAGACTGGCAACGGATGTTAGCTCAGAGTGAATCTTCCTCACCAAAAAAAAAAAAATTTTAGGAAACCTAAAGTGTTTACAAAATTTATCTTCCCTCATAAGGAAGAACACTAAACTTAAACCAAATACCAAAAATTGTTAGTTTGCCATCAAGATATCTCCATAGCTTTTTTCAAAATATACCCTCTCTAGATTAGATGACATTCTTTAATGGGACTTCTGGGCCCAACTGTGAAACAGTGATTTAAATACAAGGCAGAGGGAAACACCCAACAATTCAGCAAGGCATTAAAGAGTTTAAGCTTCTCCTTTCCATTGTTATCCTCTAGGAACAGTAAAAGTCTCCTACAATCTTCCAGGAAAGGAGAGAAGACAAGACAAATATATATAAATAAATAAATAAATAAATAAATAAGCTAGACTCTAAGGCTGACAAGAGACTCTGAAGTTCCCTTTTCTATAGACATTTCAGAGAACTGAGCTCAACAAACAGCCTTTTACATGTTAACCAACCATTATTTTACCTATGTTCTTTTACATCAAGAGAAGCTTTAAAAAAAAAAACTCCAATGGGATTACTATTTTTATTTTATCTGTCTACACTTCTCAAGTTTTCTGCAAAGAATGGGTATTATTTTTGTAATCAGTTTTTAAAATGTTTTACAAACATACATTTTTTGTAACTGCTGACTTCTTACCAGAAAGAGTCTGCACATAATCCCACAACGTGTCTTTATTTGTCCAAAAGTAGTCTCCATTGCCAACTGAAAGAGTATGTGAGCGTTCATCCATAAGCTGGACTTTCCTTCTGCTCTGGCCTAATGAACACGACTGACCTTCTAGGCGTACAGAGCTCTTTGGTGCACAAACCTTGACACTCTTTAAGCTAAAAGGCTTCATTTCGAACCAAACAACTGCCTTTAGGTTTGAACTAATTAGAAAAGAAACACACTGCTTTTTCAAAACTGAAAAACGTCAGTTAACCGAAAGCACAGACACATTCCAATATAGAATGTTAACAATGCAAATCTGATTGGAGGAAGGTCTTCCATATAAGCTACGCTTGTCAAAATATAGCTCCAAAAGAAGTTTTTTCCAAAGAAAAAAGGAATGTTAAGGCCTAAGGAGATCTGCCACACTCACAAAACAGTATTAATGCCTTTATGAAGGAAAGTTTAAAAAAAGAAGGACGCCATTTCCAAGAAAAATAAAGCACCAAAGTCACCATATAGCTAAGGTTCACACACCTAAGCTTCACACATATGGTTTTCTACCAATGAACAAGTTTATTTGACTTGATCAAAACCCTACATAAAATGGCTAATTTCTACACAGCTCAGAGAAATAACACGTGACCAGCAATGCTACAGACTTGAGCACCCTGTCCAGCACTACAAAAATAAAGGAAAAGAATATCAAAAATCAAGAATATCAGCATGCTTTGGGGAAGACAGGCAAAGCAGGACACTACCACTGCCCATGAGTATTTTTATTTTCATATCTGAGAGTAGTTTTTATGCATAGAAAAGAGATTTACTCTAGTTTTCAAATATTAATACTTGATTTATTAATGTTACAAATTCAAAAAGCCTAGATTTTCCTCAAACTTTTACATTCAACTTAGACATCTTATTCTATTTGGAGTTTTAATTTTAAAGGGCTGCAATGAATGTTTGATCTCATTTACAAAGTTAAACACCTTCAAACATATAATTTTAACTGCTTTAAATAATATATTTAATTTTAAGTACAACTGTTTGATCTAAAAAGACAAAATTTTCTGAGAACTTAAGTAATTTATAAATCTAAAAAATTAAACTGATGAAAATAGTGACTCAGGAACTCTTTAATGTCTATGCAATGATATCAATATAGCAAGCTTTCAACTTAAGTTCACAAGTATAAATCAATTATTCACTCAATTCGGGCCGGCCCCGTGGCTTGGTGGTTAAGTGAGCGCGCTCCACTGCTGGCGACCCGGGTTCGGATCCCGGGCGCGCACCGACGCGCTGCTTCTCCGGCCATGCTGAGGC